GTTAGTTTGGAGCTGAACAACCTGGCAGCCTCCATGAGGTTGGGCCGGTTTAAAGCTGGTTCACAGGTCGTCTGTCCCTCCCACCACCAAACTAATGGATCCGTCCTCTGGCTGTTCATGCAGGACGGGCTGCGTACGCTGGATGTTTACAGGTTCAACATGATCAGAAACACACTGAGAGCTGCACTAGTGCACCAGAACAGTAAAGCTGAGATCAGAAGGGAGCTGCTGCAGCTTCATTTCTATGAGAAACACCTTTTACATCCAACAAGCCGTGACAGAGTTTGATTTGATCTTTTACTGTCGTAACCCTGAAATGAAGAGCTCGGATTAAGAGCTAGTTGGACGTTTTATCTGGCAGCAGAAAGCGTTTCTGTAAAACAAACAGCAGGATGACAACATGAGGTCCTGCTCTTACACAACAGCACACAGTCCGGATAAATCCAGTGGACCATGGACTGAGCCGGGCCGCTGTGTAGATAACACCGCAGTAGCTGCAGTTCTCTGCTGGAAGCCCTGAGCTATAGATTCATCCTTATAGAAACAGCCGGAGACGGACTGAAGTGGGAACAGATCAGTGAGCAGCGGTGCCGCTCGCTCTCTGAGGTTGCTGCCAGGTTTTCAGAGTCGCCTTCCTGCTCCAGCCGGACCGGGCTGGCCCGCTGCAGCAACCTGCAGGTCAAAGTTCAGGGCCAAAATAAAACGCTGAGGGCAGCGGGGTCATTACCTCGGTGTCACATCACGCATGTGTCCGTGCACGCTGACAACACGCCGTCTTCCCTCCCAAGCCTGCTTTTAGCAGATCGTCTTCTTGTTTCTGGTTCTACAGCCGCTGGTTGAGGTTTCTGTTGTTGTGAAGCAGCCTGACGCTGGCTGAGGCGACGTGGACACGCAGGTCCGTGTGTTTGTTTTGCCCGTCAGTGGAAGCTTTAGAAATAGAAAAGCTACTTATTAAATGCAACTATTAGACTGAGCCAAATCCATAATGCGGCCGTGTTGCCCCGGCGCTGTGACCTTTTAGTCCAAATGTTGATAGACCTTAATTGTGTTTAGCTGCTGTAATTCCACTAACAGTCTGACCCAGAGGCTAATCCAGGGCAGCCAGGCGGCGAACTGTGCTCTCTGCTCGCTGCCATTTGCTGAAGTGGCGTTTTGAAGAGTCGCAGCTGAAGCGTCCCGCGGTACCGCTGTCTGCCTGCACTTCCCTCCTCACGCTCGTGCCCTCATTTCATGCCCTACCTACACGGCATGCTGTTTTGTTTGGGGTTTTAGGGATTTGTTGGCCTTTTTAAAGTGCCTCTCTGCCCTCAGCGTGGAATCAGAAGACATTTGTTTGCCTAATAGACAGAACTTTGTGTGTTTCTCTGCCCTGCGTGCGACAAGCTCAGTCAATTGCATTAAGCTAAGCCACAGTGCACCAATTAAAAAGCAGGAAACGGATTATGGCAGACTCTCAAATCTGACTCTGTACTCCTCCACCCTCCTTTTATTCTCCATCTCTGACCCTGGTTTCCTTTTTTTCCTGCTTATCCTCAGGCATCTGTTTCTATCTGATGTCGTTTCTCTGTCTCTCGCTCTCTTTCTGCGTCCAGATAGCACATCGCTCTGTGTCTGCGCTCGCCTCTTTTTCTCTCTGGACCTTTCCACAATCACCCCTCTGCCCTTTTCTCCGTTCTGTCTGCTCCTCATTCTCATCAGGCAGCTGTAGGCGTGGAACAACAGAGAGCGATGTGTTTCAGTCAGACGTACTCAAGTGCTCTGCCTCTCAGGCACGAGTGACCCCCACAATGAGGCTTTTGAAAAGTCAAGTGGATCAAGTAGATTCACCACCATCTGCAGGATTAACCACTAATCAATATAAGAGCGGATTAATAGCCGTGAATTCACAAATCGGAGCGGCTCCAAACCGCGGCGTGGAGGCAGATTGCGTGCGTAATTGAATTCAGATGAATTTGATGAATTCTCCGAGGAGGTCGGGGACAATGTGCTTCACAACTTGTTCGCTGCTTCAGGGAGAAACTCAAAAATAAACCAGGCTGGTCACCCCTGTAGAAGATTTGTTTTTAGACGGAACCAGGACAGAGTGACAGTTTCAGGTCACAGACTGAGATATGGACAGTCAGGGAAGTCTTCTGAGACTGTCCTCCCAAAGAAGTCACCAGAATGAGTCATTTCTCAGTGTCCTTCCAACGTCTGGTCCCGTTCTGCTGAGGACGCCCTCTAGCGGACTGTCACAGCTGAAGGATGAAGTCAGGGGACGTTTTCATAGAGTCCCACAGCTCAGAGACTCCTTCCTACAAAATGTTGACACCACTGTTTGAGTCCCGTGACAGTGAACGCCTCCTCTGACCTTATTGTTGTACCCACATGGTATCCGTTCCCCTCAGATCTTGACCTGAGCTGTTTCCTAGCGCTAACTACGACGTTTCTGTCCTACATCACGTCGTCATGTCGTAGAACAGATTCACCTGAAGCCCACAAACAGCCCCTACCTGCTACTGGACCCCACACCAGGAAACATGGACATGTCTGCTACTGACGGTTCACAACGTTTGCAAAATAGCACCAAATGTGTTTTGCCTTTTGTATTTTGCACAACCTAAAAAAACACTCCCAGGATTACTAATAGTATAGACACTAAACGGTGCTCTGTGTTGTTTTAACACCTGACAGTCGATAACTATCCACGTTTGGCATCACAGGGTTCAGAAAGTCCTCCTTGTTTTTGCAAAATAGCTCAAATTTTCTTGCATTTGTGATGCATTTTGCACGACAGCATTTTAAACTCACCGTCCAAAGTTGTAATGATCACTGAGTGGGCTGCTGCAGACAAAACGCTACAGGACTGCATATAATAATATAGAATATAATAATATAGAATATAGTATAAAATAGTCATATTATATTATATTATATTATATTATATTATATATAAAATGCTCCAGTGTTTGCTGCCTTCACGACACAAACTCTGCTGCTTTCATGTCAAACATGTTTTCTGAGCCTCTCCGGCTGCATCCATGCGTGTCGTCAGACCGAGTCAGAAGCTACACGACATTTTAATTTGAGTGTTTTTGCGCCGTCGAGGCTGATCGTGATTGCAGATGGTTCTGAAAGGCAGAGACAAGCGATGCTGTGTTGTTTTAAAGGGCAGCTTCAGATATGGTATCTGATCACAGCACTGGAGTGACGTCTCTGTCTGGACTCGACTTCCCACTCAGAGCACCTCACAGGACCTGAGGTGACTTGAGACATATTTGACCAGGACACCTTTGTGGAGATTGAACTTTGCATCTCAGTTATTGTCCTTCCTCTGTGAGGCAGAGACAAACCCGTGTGGCTGATCTGACAGCAGAGCACGACGTGAGAACGAGGATCGTTGTGCAGCGCCGGCTTCGTGCAGCTCCTCTCCTCAGCCCGGCTAGCGAGGCTGTTTGCTAAAGGAGACCACATTCTTTCCGGGAACACGGGTTGACACAAGTTCACAGGGAAAACTAGTACTTTGAGGTCAACACCTTTTGTGCAGAGGTATTTTTTCCTGCGCGGGGGACGGGCAAGAATTAGAGGCATTTTTATAACGCTCTGGAGTGATTTGACCTCTCGGTTTTCAGATGCGTTCAATTGACACAGCTGCTGTGTGTGAGGTGACAGGTGATGGAGAGCTGAAAAGCATTTTCCAAACCCCTCCTTCTCCCGGCCTCCACCTGTCTCTTTATGTAAAGCACCACTCGCTATCTGCAGCCTCATCTCCGGCTGTACTCCACCCTGTTGAACTCCCTCCACCCTCAGCCCTGGCTTTGCCCTCAATCTCCCTTTTCTCCACTTATCACCTTTCACTCTCTCCTGCTCCACCTTATCTCACCGCTTCAGCCTTTTAACCTCATTCTTTCCCCACACGTGGCCCCTCTTTGCATTTTCACGGCCTCTCCTCTGCTCCCCTCTCTCCACTGGCTCTGTAACAGTAGATGGAGTTATTAGTCAGACAGTGGGGACGACTGAACAGGTGTTTTCCAAATGGGCCTTTGAGCGCTCGCCGCACCATCATCGCTCCACAGCCGGGGGCGCTGTGTGTGTGTGT